CCCCCTCCCCCACCCAAAACATAATCACTGGTAAATGGCATTTTAGACACAAATTTGGCCCGTCCGGTGAGTTATCCAGGTATAAGGCCCGATGGGTGGTTCGCGGATTCAATCAGCGTTTTGGCGTCGACTACAGCGAAACCTTCAGCCCCGTGATTAACCCTGCCACGGTCCGCATCGTCCTTAGTCTCGCATTGTCTCGTGGGTGGCCTATCCATCAGCTCGATGTCAGAAATGCTTTCCTCCATGGACAGCTTCAGGAAACCGTGTATGCCAGCCAGCCTTCAGGATTTCAGGATCCTGAACGACCCCATCATGTCTGTCGCCTCAAAAAAGCTCTATATGGCCTGAAACAGGCACCTCGGTCATGGTATCACAGATTTGCAGGTTTTATTCAGACTATTGGATTTCGCGGATGCAAGTCCGACACATCACTTTTCATCCTCACGCATGCATCGGGGACCGCCTACCTCCTGTTATATGTCGATGACATTGTTCTCACTGCCTCCTCGCCAGCACTAGTACAGAGTCTCATTCAGAAACTCAAGGCTGAGTTTGCTATGATAGACATGGGTGACCTGCACTTTTTTCTCGGCATTAATGTCCACCGCACAGCTCAGGGTCTTTTCCTTCATAGACACAGTTCACCCACGACATCCTTGAGCGGGCAGGGATGGTCTCCTGTCGCCCCATATCCACTCCTGTCGACATGAAGGCAAAGCTCTCCTCCTCCTCCGGCACGGCACTTCCAGATCCCTCCCTTTACAGGTCCATAGTTGGAGCTTTGCAGTATCTCACATTCACTCGACCTGATATTACTTATGCCGTTCAGCAGCTCTGCCTTCACCTGCATGCGCCTCGCGACTCTCACCTCACGGCCATGAAGCGCGTCCTCCGTAATCTCAGCGGCACCGCCACCCACGGCATCTACTTGACCCGCTCCATGACCGACTATCTTCATGCTTACTCTGATGCTGATTGGGCTGGATGCCCTGACACCCGACTTTCTACTTCCGGGTACTATATTTTTCTGGGCGACAACCTAATCTCATGGTCATCCAAACGCCAGGCTACCACGTCACGGTCCAGTGCAGAAGCAGAATATCGGGCTGTGGCCAATGCAGTTCCAGAGACATCCTGGATTCGGAATCTACTCCTAGAGCTCCAGCAACCCCTACGGCGTGCCACCCTTGTCTTCTGTGATAATGTTAGTGCCGTCTTCCTCCTCCCAGTATGCTGACACCTTTACCAAGGGACTACCTTCTTTGCTCTTCCTCGAGTTCAAGTCTAGTCTGGGTATCAGACCACCTCCACACCCGACGTAGCCGGGAGCATGTTAAATTTATTCTATATTTAATGTAAATATATTGTTTCCTATTATTGACTCCTACTTTGTATAGGAATAGGAATCCCATGTCTATATAAACACATGTACTCCCACATACTCTTTCAAGGAAATTAATCTTTCTACATTTCGGTTTTGGTACGGGGTTTAGCACGGACGATGCTCTGTGCCAACCTGTCAAGGAACCAACTCAACCAAAAGCTCAAGCTTGTGGTTGTGGCCCAGGAACAGTTATTTATATTCTAACACGCCCCCTCACGTGCAGGCGTATTCTTTTTTGAGCCTTGCACGTGAAACCTTAATTTTTTTAACTGGGTGGCGCTGAGTTTCGAACCCGTGACCTCTTAGTCAACGAGGCCACGATACCATGTCAAGGAACCAACTCAACCAAAAGCCCAAGCTTGTGGTTGTGGCCCAGAAACAGTTATTTATATTCTAACACAAACTAACGCCACTAACAATTTAACGTTTAAGTTATTGGCACACCCCAACCCGTGACAACCGTCCGTGCCTAGTTTAGCACGGATTGTTGTCACGATAACTTCCATGCCATACATTTTTTGAAATTTGAAAATTGAAAGAGGCGCCAATACTTTAATTTTGGCATGGCCTATATCCGTGCCATTAGTTTGACTGCTAAAGTAGTGTAATTTTTATGAATATTTTAATTGCCCGTTATTTAACTTAATTTGGCACGATAAATATCCGTGCCTAATCTTAAAAAAAATAAAAAAAATTAAAAATTTTAGAAGGAATAAATAAAGTCAAATAAATATACTAAACAAACATTTAAATATAACTAAACATTAAAACATGTTAGGCATCACAATGAAAAACAACATGTTCAACATCACAAAAAATAATATGTTCCACATCATAATAAAAAACACAAAAAACACATGCAATAAAAACATATTGCATAATGCTTAAATATTACAAATTATTTTTAATGTTACTAGTTTAAAAAACTAGTAACATCACAATTTTCCTAATTGTTTTCTTCGGGGACTTCCTGCACAGGATTATTAGATATTGTAGAGGGGACTTGAGATTGATGAAACATAGGCAAAGGCATGGGGGACATGAGAGGTTGTGAGGCGAAAAAATATGCTGGAGTTTGGGTATTATTGAGCAGGGGGCTTGGATTTCTCGAAAGAGACATCGAAAACGGCCAAAAAGCATTTGGAGTAGGGGCGACAGTACTATTCACGAAATCATTGTACCCCCTGAGTCAACAAAGTAAATGATTGTTTCAATCCCTGAAATTGCATTAACAAGTCCTGGGATTGAGCTTCATATTTCTTTTCCAAAGAAGCACTCTTTTCTTCAAATTTTTCCTCCAACTCTTTCTTCAAGATGGCAGCATAATCATCATGACTAGGGCCTCCGGATGAAAAAGACCCCGAAGCACCCGCTTCACAGCCCTGCCCAAAAATTCTGTTCTTCTTCCTCCCCATCACGTCAACATACAATCCAAGATCATCTTCAAGTTCTTCATCAACAATATCTTCCATATCCACAGAATTTGAGCGAGATCTAGACACTGCCTGCTTCTTTTGGACAAGCTTCTCCTTGTATTTTTTCTCCATTAATAATACAAAAAACAAATATTAATAGTTATTAGTCTAATTTAAAATAAAAAAATCATTATTCAAAAATGATAAATAAAAATAATAACTTTTAAGAAAAAATAGCTATTACCTTGATTTGAGCAACTTCTTCAGACGGCTCCGCTCTTTTTTTGAGAAACAACCTGTTAATAATCTCCAACTGGGTCGGAACCACTTTATCCTCCATCTCCTACAAAAAATTTAATTTACTTCAAACCAAAGGAATAACCAAAAAACATAAGTATTTGAAACACAAAATAGTACGCTTACCATCTTTTTCACATGCTCCCTGACTGAGCGACGACCACCGTAGTATTGCCTCTGTTTAGCCTTCTCACTTTTCTTGTTCCTTCTCGTCTTCTCACTCTTAACTCTAAACTCCAGAGATGCCCAATACTGAAGCATCACTCCCCAGTGATCTGTACCAATGAACTTTGGCTTCTTATTCTTGTTTCTTGCATTCATAAACCTTTTTGTCAACCAACGGGACCCACGAGAATTGAATGTGCCCTTCATTGCTTTATATGTCTCCACCGAGTCTTTCCCTGGCAACCACGTGTAACGAAGCTACATAATTAAAAGTAATAGTTCGTACAAAATTAACTTCAAAGCCAGTTGTGCATCAGAACTGAAAAAATTATTTGGGAGGAAATTCTGTGTATTTCTCTCTCTTGTCCTTACAATTTACAATGAGGACCTATATATAGGATCTCACAAGTTGAGACTCCTAATAAGTAAAGGAAAAGGAAAAGGAAAGAATCCCTATACAAGGAAAACTACCAAAACAATATATACACAAATATCTCCAAATATTCTACCAAATATTCTCTTTCCTTTAACACCCCTCTCAAGTTGGAGCATGTAGTAACGAAATGCCCAACTTGGGAAGAAGAAACTCCAAGCGTGACTTTCCGAGTGCCTTTGTATGAATGTCTGCAAGCTGATGCGTAGTAGGCACATGAAGTGTACGAATCTCTCCTCGCAAGAGCTCATCACGAACGAAGTGACAATCAATCTCAATGTGCTTCGTGCTTTCGTGGAAAACCAGATTAGCAGCAATGTGAAGTGCTGCCGTGCTGTCACACCGGACCATCATGGGATCCTTATGCTCAACCCCTAAACACCGGAAAACATTCTTCAACCACTTCAACTCACATGTAAGGACAACCAAAGCTCTATACTCTGCTTCAGCAGACGAGCGAGCCACCGTGGACTGCTTCTTTGTTTTCTATGAGACAGGCGAATCTCCAAGATGCACAAACCACCCTGTCAATGACCGCCTCGTCAAAGGACATGCTGCCCAGTCCGAATCACACCATCCTGTGAGTTGAAGACTACTCTCTGCTCACAGAAAAATGCCCTGACCTGGACATCCTTTCAAATAACGAACGACTCTAAGGGCCGCAGACCACTAATCCTCCCTTGGTTCCTTCAAAAACTGTGCTAAAGTGTGGACGGCATAAGAAAGTTCCGGTCGTGTAACAGAGAGATATACCAACCTTCCTACCAACCGTCGATATGGTTCTGGATCTGCAAGGACCGGGGCTTGGGAACGAGCCAAGTGATGATTTGGCTCCATCGGGGCACCCAACGACCTGGCACCTAACAACTCTGCCTCAATGATGATGTCTAAGGCATACTTTCGTTGGCAAAGAAAAATCACAAACGTGCTCCTCGCCTCCTCAATGCCAAGAAAGTATTTCAGTGTTCCCAAGTCCTTCATATGAAAACAATCTCCGAGATAGGCTTTGAACTTGCTTACCATCTCTGTATTCTCTCTAGCAATAATCAAATCGTCAACAGAAACCAAAACATGTATGACTCCTTTCTTTCCAACAAAAGAAAATAAGGAGTAATCAGCAACAGATTGAACAAACCCATAGCGTTTTAAGGCTCCAGACAACTTGGCAAACCAACACCTTGGAGCTTGCTTTAAGCCATACAAAGACTTCTTGAGTTTGCACACCACATTAGACGAATTCGAGAAACCATGTGGCAATCTCATATACACCTCATCCTGAAGATCTCCGTGTAGAAATGCTTTGTGAACATCCATTTGATGCAATTCCCACCGCTTAACTGCTGCAATTGCTAAAAGCGTTCTCACAGTGGTCAACTTGACTACAGGAGCAAATTTTTTTTTTTGTAGTCAAGTCCTTTGACCTGATGATTGCCAAGTATAACAAGTCTGGCCTTATATCTCTCTACACTTCCATCAGACTTGCGCTTGATCTTATATACCCATTTGCAACCAAGGGGTTTTTTATGGCGTGGAGGAGAGACAAGAGACCACGTCCCATTAGCCTCCAGTGCATCAATCTTCTCTCTCATAGCCTTCCTCCATCGTTCATCCTGGAATGCCTTCTTGAAACTTGTGGGCTCCACTCCAGCATCAAGAGCGCTGAGAAACACTTGTGTCTGTCAGAGAACTTCTCGTGTGTGACATACGAGGCAAGAGGATATTTGCATTTTTCACCAACATGTGAACCAGCTACATGGGTAACATAATCGGAAAGGCGTACATTTGGACGTTTCTCACGTTGACCACATCCTAAGTTCTCCACCGCTTGCTGGGAAGAGGAAGGTCGACCGCCATCCGTGGAACGGTCCACGGGGTCGACCGTCTGAAGCTGTTCTGGATCGCTAGCTTTCTGCCTCAGAAGACGGTCGACCGTCTTCCACATCACGGTCGACCGTTTGATCATCTCCCAACGAAACGTCATTCTGCCTCGCGGACCGTTTGGTCAGAACGGTCCACCAGGTCGACCGTGGATATCAGAACGGTCCACCAGGTCGACCGTTTGGTCATCTCTCAGGAACTCGTCATTCTACCTCTTGGACGGTCGACCGTGGACAACTGAATGGTCCATCCGGTCGACCGTCTGTAGCCTGTCTGCTCCACCATTTTCCTCTGGTCGACTGTCCCTCCTGGAACGGTCCATCCGTTCTTCCGTCCGCAGTTCTTCATCGTCATCATAAGAGCTAACCTCATTTGTCCTTCCTGTATCAAGAGATGCACCTGTAAGAGTCAAGAAAGGGAAAATATCTTCACAGAACACAACATCCCGGGACACCTTAATTTCCTCAGTGTCCGGGTAGTAAATACACCATCCCTTCTTCCCTTGCGGATATCCAACAAATATTCCAAGATTGCTTCTTGCTGTGAATTTATCTCCATTCCTCTTCAAGTTATGAGCATAACATCTGCATCCAAAAACACGAATATGAGCCAAAGAAGGTGGCTTTTCATAGATCTTCTCGTATGGTGTGACCCCCCTAGCAAAGACGAAGGTGTGCGATTGATCAAATGTGCGGCGGTCTGTATACACTCTCCCTAGAACTCAATCGGAAGACCAGCCTGAAACCTCAAAGCCCGACCCACATTCAAAATTTGTCGGTGCTTGCATTCTACTCTCCCATTCTGTAGTGGAGTAGACACACAAGACGTCTCATGAATAATTCCTTTCTCCTTGAAATATTCGTTTAGACATTCAAATTCTGTGCCATTATCACTGCGAACACACTTTATTTTCTTCCCAAATTGTCGCTCTACCATAGCACAGAATTGCTTAAAAACAGTGCCAACCTTATGTTTGGAGTCAAGCAAATGTACCCAAACACCTCTTGAAAAATCATCCACAATGGTCAAGAACATTGTAGAACCATCAAAACTTGGAGTCCTATACGGTCCCCATAAATCACAGTGTATCATATCAAATTTATCAGCAGATTGATAAAAACTTATAGGAAAGCTCCCACGAGTCTGTTTAGCACGCAAACAAATGTCACAACAACTGTGACTACTCTTACTTGTTCCAACTCCAGGAACAAGAGACAAAACATGAGAGGAAGGATGTCCAAGTCGTTTGTGCCAAAGATCAAACTTACTCTCCTTCTTCACACTGCACACCATCTTCTTTTCAGGCTCCTTGAAGTAATAAAGTCCTCCTTCCTGCTCACCCATACCAATTTCTGTCTTTAAATACAGATCCTGTTGTATACACTTATTGTTGGCAAAACGTGCCTCACAGTTCGAATCCCTTGTCAATTGTGACACAGAGATTAAATGGCAACTCAAAGTGGGAACATATAGGACATCGTGCAGAAGTAATGTTTCTGTTAATTTAATCTTCCTAGATTGTACAGAAATAATTCTTTTCCCATTGGGCAAACCAATCTCACATGGTGATATTCCCACGACGTCATGCAATAACGAAATATCACCAGTCATATGATTTGATGCCCCAGTATCTATAATGCAACGCGGTGACAAAGGTATACCTGAAAGCTTCACACTGGAAACACACGATGATAGGGAGAAAAACATCTTCCTTGGTTGTTCATCGGGGTTGGCGGTAGCAGAGTGGCGTACGGCGGTGGCAGAAGAATCAACAGCAGCATCTATCACACAATCTGCCGACGAGACAGTCGACGTGCTCGACCGTTCAAGAGCAACGGTCGACCGTTCCGTTGTCCGGCAACAACAACAACAAACGACTGAAACTGAGCAACGACCGATGGATGCCATGCCGGACGATCGTGAACAGTAGTCGCTAAAAAACTCTAGGGTTTTGGCTCTGATACCATGAAAAATTTATTTGGGAGGAAATTCTCTATATTTCTCTCTCTTGTCCTTACAATTTACAATGAGGACCTATATATAGGATCTCACAAGTTGAGACTCCTAATAAGTAAAGGAAAAGGAAAAGAAAAGAATCCCTATACAAGGAAAACTACCAAAACAATATATACACAAATATCGCCAAATATTCTACCAAATATTCTTTTTCCATTAACAAGAACCTAGTTTTTACTTTTAAATCCAATATCAAGAGAAGTGTTGTGATTTTGACGTGGTCCAAATTAATAACTTGTGTTATTATCTTTAATGGAGAGATATATATATGAGGTCGCAAATATGGCAAAATGGGGTCTAATGTCCGATAATCAAAAAATATTAAAGTGTGTAACAAGTGTTAAGGAGTATATTATACTGTAAAGCCGTATAACTATTTCAAAAAATAACTAATTATTAGTTTGTAGTTATATACGGTGAATTTGAAGTACTTTTTTCAGAAAATAAGTTCCAAAAATTAGTTCAAAAATAAGTAATTATTAAAATTGTAAATAATAAACTTACTTTGTTGCAAAAAAAACTTACTTAAAACAGGTTCCACCATCGCTCTCGAATTTCTTTTGGGACTGTTGTGTATGTATGGCATGGTCCATGAAAATTTCCCTTAATTATGAATTTAATGGACTCTAACACAGGCTGAGTCCTATAAAGTTGGCGAAAAATTAATAACACATTTAGATGATATAAAAAATCAAACATATTTAGAATAAAAATTAAACATAATGAGAATGTTAAAAAAATTAAACATACCCCCTTAGTTCTGAAATTGTAATGCATCGTGGAAGGCTCTCATTTTGAGAATCATTGGTCGTTCCTCCACCCTCGCCTTGGGACTCACCGCCTGCCTGGAATACCGACTGCGGGGTAGTCCCTGTGGATGGGGACTCTTGAGGGGCTCGGGACTCATTTGTGTTGCGGAAGCTTCCTTTTCCCCGAATGCTTCCGCGGAAGCTTGTACTCCGTGTAGACATCTAAAAGGGTGATTGAAGTACTGGGAAAAAAGAGTGGTTGACACTTGCCGGCGACCGGAGTATTTTTGGTCGAAAGAGGAGGGTTTTTTAGACGATGGTGTTGGTTGGAGGAGGGTTTTTTTGGACGGCTATGGGAACAAAGGAGAAACAAATGGTGATAAGGGGTTTATATATTTTCCTTGTAGGCACGGCTGTAGGCACAAACGTGGCGTGCCAAAAGTTAAATCATTAAATTCGGTTGTCAGAACGATGCAGTGGGTTTTAAGGGATTTGTAAAGGCACGGTATTAGGCACGAATATGCCGTGCCAAAGCCGAATTTCAATCATTCTACTGCCAATACCTAAATATGTGTACTCCTCCCTATATGAATTAAATTGTACTCAAAATAAAGTATTTTTTCATGATTTTTTTAATTCATCTTATTTGAATATTTGTATAGAAATAAAAAAAATTTAGATATTTAAAAATATACATCAAATGTTGTGCAAAACAGACAAAGTTCTCTTGATTTTATTCGAGAAATATTTTATTTTATCAAATGCACAATGAATATTTGGATAGAAATAAAAAATAAAAATTACATATTTAAAAACATACATGAAATATTGTACAAAATAGATAAAGTACTCGTGATTTTATTCGAATAGTATTTTATTTTATCAAATACACATAATGAAAAATTGATAAATAAAAAAAGTTCTCGTGATTTTTTTGAATAATGAAAGAAGGGAGTACTTAAAAATCTAAATTTTTATTATATTATTTGCGAGTAGTACTAGATTAAAAAAATTGTAACAGTACGTCATTAAGCATACATCAAATAAAAAACAACAACACATTGTGGATAATAACATCATCAAATAGTATAATTTACATCATTCACTTTCATAATCATCCTCAACATAAACTTCTTCTTCTTCGGTATCTTCACCGGAAATCCATTCATCTTCTTCCAAGTCATTAAGTGTTTTGTTAAAGATATTTATGTTATTATCATTAGCTACCCATGGGATTTATTGGAGTTCCCGTCCACATCCATGGCGGAAATCATGGAGATTTTGGTGGTTACCTATTGTATGTAGATTTCCTTGTATGTACTTTGCCCATATATTGTACCCTACGGGTCTATTGCCGAGACAAGAGAAAGAATTATTTTCCACAAAAAGTTTATCATGGTATTGGAGCTTACCGATCTATTTCCGTAAGTTTTTTTTTCCGGCATGCATGGCGGCTTCAGGAGAGAAGAAATCCGACAGCGACACTGGCGGAGCTCCTCAACGTCACACGATCTCACCATATGATCTTCATGCTAATGATAATTCAGGGTTGATTATCACACAGGTGATTCTCAAATGTGAAAACTACGAAGAATGGGCACGTGCGATTCGCACCGCTCTTCATGCTCGGAAGAAATTTGGGTTCGTGGATGGGTCGATCCTGAAGCCCGCTGATGCTTCCCCCAATTTGGAAGATTGGTGGACCAATAATTCTCTCCTCGTCTCATGGATACGGAACACAATTGAGTCGCCACTTCGTACAACGATCTCGCACATGGAGATGGCGCAAGGTCTATGGGACCATATCAAGGCTCAGTTCTCTGTTGTCAATGGCCCACGCATTCAACAAATTAAAATGGAATTGACGACATGTGACCAACGCGGCTTGACTATCGCTGCATATTATGGTCGTTTGAAGAAACTTTGGGATGATTTAAATGATGTTGACCCCTTCCCTACTTGCACATGTGGTAAATTCGAGTGTAACCTTGCTCAACAATTGGAGAAGAAGAAAGACGAAGAGAGAGTGCATCAATTTTTGATGGGTCTCAATGAAGCCTTGTACGGACATCTTCGTTCTACCATTCTCTCTCAAGAACCGTTTCCAACGACCACTCGGGTGTATCGTGTGATGACACAGGAAGAAACGGCATGGGCAGCCCACCCACGTGAGCGCCCTGAAAACGTAGCCTTTGCCGCTCGTCTTGCTGCCCCGGACAAGCCATGTGACCAAAAACATGTTGTGACATGTTCTAATTGCAAAAAATTGGGACATGATAAAGATTCGTGCTACCAACTCCATGGCTATCCAGAGGGTTGGGGGCGTGGCAGTGGCGGGAGAGGCCGCGGGCGTGGTCGGAACACCACTGGTGGCAGAGGATCCAGCGGACACGGCATGCAGCAGCCCCATGCTTCTCTCGACCAACAATTCCATGCGGCCCATGCTGCTGGAGTGCATGGCGGCAGTAGCTCATATGGGGAGTCTCTTGAGAGTGTGGTACCCTCTTTAACTGCCGAACAATGGGAAACATTTAAGGGATTATTGGCCTCTGTTAAAGATGCTCCATCTGAGAAATTGTTAGGTATTCCTTGTACTAAACGATGGATTATTGATACAGGTGCAACAAATCATATGACAGGCGATTTACAATGTTTAATTGACGTGCATTCCATACCGGGTTCTTGAATATGCTTGCTGGATGGAAAAACGGTAACGGCCACGACTGCGGGTCGTGTTCGGTTAAATGACTACGTTGTTCTTAACAATGTCTTGTTTGTCCCCGATTTGAGTTGTGATTTACTATCTGTGTCTCATTTGATTAAAGAGACTAACGATGCAGGTGATTGGTGCGGGTAGGCAGTTTGATGGTCTCTATTACTTTCAGCAAACGTCATCGGGTCATGCATTATCAACTACGAAAGAATGTCCGTTTGATTTGTGGCATAGACGTCTGGGGCATCCATCACCAAAAGTTTTATCTTTTTTACCGATTGCTAGTTCTAGTAAATCTAGTGTTTTAAATAATGGACCATGTGCTATTTGTTTGCGTGCAAAACACTGTCGTGCTTCTTTTCCAAAAAGTACGAATAAAGCCACAGATTTGTTCCAAGTTATTCATATTGATGTGTGGGGTCCGTATCGGATGCCTAGTTTGGATGGTTTTACATCTTTTTTGACAATTGTTGATGATTATTTCCGTGGTACTTGGGTTTATTTATTGCGGGAAAAATTGGAGGTGCCCTCGATCTTCCGTTAATTTTGTGCTCTTGGAGATCGCCAATTTGATAAAAAGTTACAAATTGTGCATAGTGATAATGGGACTGAGTTTGAATGTCTTGATCCGTTCTTTCGTGAACATGGAATTTTTCATGAGACGTCGTGCCGTGGCACACCACAACAAAACGGTAGGGTTGAGCGCAAGCATCGACACATCCTTAACGTTGCTCGCGCCCTCCATTTTCAAGCCTCTCTTCCCATTGAGTTTTGGGGCGAGTGCATTCTCACCACTGCATGTTATAAATCGGACTCCCTCCACCGTGTTACACGGTAAGACACCATATGAATTGATGTTTGGCTCTCCACCGTCTTTGACGCATATTCGGACCTTTGGTTGTTTGTGTTATGTTCATAACCAAGACCGTCACGGCGATACGTTTGACTCGCGAAGTGTGAAAGGCATATTTCTTGGTTATCCCCATGGAAAGAAGGGTTGGCGAGTTTATTTTCAGGACACTGGAAATTTTATTATCTCTCGTGATGTGATTTTTCATGAAAATATCTTCCCTTTTCAGGATCCAATTTCCTCTTGTGCCTCACCAGCTGTTCCAGACTCCCCAATGCCGTATCTTGACGATGAAGAAGGTTTTGGGCGCCATTTCTTACCAGCAAGGGGGGGTGTTCGTGACTCACAGGAACCAGCTGCTGTTCGTGACTCACAGCAACCAACTGTTGTTCGTGCCTCACAGCAACCAGCCCAGCCAACACCAACTTCCAGCACTGCCGATTCACTCCTGGCAGTTTCTCCAGCCTCCCAGCCGGTGACCTCCAACACTGCCGAATTACTCCCAGCAGTGTCTCCAGCCTCCTAGCCGGCGACCTCCACTGTGGCAGCTCCTCCTTCCATTCCATCCGTGTCTCTCGCAGAACAGCCGGCATCCTCCAGTATGGCAGCGCCTCCTGCCGTGGGACGTGGCCACCGGCAGCGCACTCCTAATGTGCGGTTGGCCAACTATCACACTTATGCCATTACACATGATGTCGTTTCTAATTATAAGTATCCTTTGACACATTACATCGGATATGCTCGATTTTATCCTTGTCATAGGGCTTTTCTAGCCGCGGTGGATTCTGGATATGAACTGCAACTTTACAAAGATGCAGTTCGATTTCCTCATTGGCGGCAAGCAATGTCGGATGAGCTCTCTGCGTTAGAAAAGAATGACACATGGACGCTTGTTCCATTACCACGACACAAAAAGGCGTTGCATTGCAAGTGGGTCTATCGCATCAAACGCAAATCTGATGGTATGATCGAGCGTTACAATGCTCGACTCGTTATCTTGGGCAACCATCAGGTTGAAGGCATTAACTATCACGAAACATTTGCTCCTGTTGTTAAGCTCACCACAGTTCGTGTTCTTCTTTATGTTGCTGCTATACGAAATTGGGAGCTTCATCAAATGGATGTTCATAATGCCTTCCTCCATGGTGACTTGGTGGATGAGGTATATATGCGACCACCGCCGGGGTTTCATTCTCAAACGCCAAACTTAGTGTGCAAACTTCAAAAGTCCCTCTACGGTTTGCGACAAGCCCCAAGGTGCTGGTTCGTCAAACTCTCTGGTGCGTTGCGGAGGTATGGTTTTGTTCAGTCTCTCTTCGATTACTCGTTGTTCTCTTCTCACAAGGGGACCTCTGTGGTTCACGTTCTGGTCTATGTAAATGATCTGGTGATAGCTGGGAATCACTCACTTGAGATTAGCCGTTTCAAGAAATATCTGTCTGATTGTTTTCACATGAAATATTTGGGTGTTTTAAAATATTTTCTTGGGGTCGAGGTCGCACGAAACTCTACGGGTATATTTTTATGTCAACGAAAATATGCTCTTGATATCATATCTGAGGTAGGCCTACTTGGGTCTCGTGCACTTGGTGCTCCGTTAAAACCTAATCATAAACTTGCTCTAGCCTCTGGACCCACTCTCGATGATCCTGGAGCCTATCGTCGACTGGTGGGACGGCTTGTGTACTTATCTGTTACTCGTTCCGATCTTTCCTATGCAGTCCATACTCTGCACAGTTTCTTCAGGACCCAAAGCTTGATCACTGGAATGCGGCTCTTGGAGTGGTACACTATCTTAAAGGCGCTCCTGGTCATGACATCCTTCTCTGTTCTGATAGTTCTCTACATTTGATTGGATGGTGTGATTCTGATTGGGCAGCTTGTCCATTGACTCGACGCTCTTTAACAGGATGGTTTGTCCAACTAGGTGTGTCTCCCATCTCCTGGAAAACTAAGAAACAGCCTACCGTCGCACGATCTTCCGCCAAAGCAGAATACCGTTCTCTCGCTGTCGTCACATGTGAGCTTAAATGGCTTCGTGGTTTACTCCGTTTTCTTGGCGTGCCTCATCCCACACCCATGCAGATTTATTGTGATAGCACCGCGGCCCTTCACATCACTGCCAATCCCGTCTTTCATGAGCGCACTAAACATATTGAAATTGACTGTCATTTTGTTCGCGATGAGTTATTACGCGGTTCCATCCGTACTTCTCATGTTTCTACCTTTAATCAGTGTGTGGATATTCTCACCAAGGCCCTTAGCAAGGGACGATTCGATGTGTTACTTCCCAAGTTGGGCATTTGTCTCTTACATGCTCCAACTTGAGGGGGTGTTAAAGATATTTATGTTATTATCATTAGCTACCCATGGGATTTATTGGAGTACCAGTCCACATGCATGGCGGAAATCATGTAGATTTTGGTGGTTACCATTTATCATTTCTTGTTACCTATTTTATGTAAATTAGAAGTTTTAGAGTAAATAGATTTCCTTGTATGTAGGTTTCCTTGTATGTGCTTTGCCCATATATTGTACCCTACGGGTCTATTGCCGAGACAAGAGAAAGAATTATTTTCCACAAGAAATTTATCATGTTTCTTGCACTTGAATTTCGCCGCCACTTAGATCTTGTAAGAAGACACCAACCTGAGTTGCTTCCACAATTGGTGGTGGTTGGAAAAATTCCTGCTGAAACGCCTCAAAATTCACTTCTCTCGGCCTTGCGTGAGTAATAATTTTTCGTGGATGAATTGAACACGCACATAGCCAATGAGATGCACGTTGACGGGTAGATGCGTACTTGGCATAGTAAACTTGAGCACCTTGTTGCGCCAAAACATCCACAATTCATTTTTCCGATATATCTTGGATTCATTGACATCCACAATATTGAACTTTGGATGTTTCCTAACACCTTGTATTGGGTCAATCCATGTACATTGGAAAAGAAAAACCTTAAACTCTTTTTGGCCGGCAAACGTTAACTCAAGTATATCCTCAAAAGTCCCATAAAAATTTATCTCACTATTATCGTAAATACACGTCGGGACGCATAGACCGCTGTTCATTGATGGGTGACCCTCTCCATAACTCAAAGTGTGATAATTAAACTCGTTTACATAATACCCGGGGTAGGTTTCAACGTAACTTGATGGACCCCAACTAACGATTCAAGAAACCAGTCATAAGTTCTAGTCATTGCATTTGTTATCTGCATATGGCAACTCATAAACTGTTATATTGGAGGATAAAATGGAAATCAAAATGAGGTGGTTTGTGTTATTTTAAATTTTATACAAATCACCTTCTCTTTAAACCACTCTGCAAACTTTGAATCAACCAAAAGATCAACATCTTCTTGTGAGAAATGAGACAAACTTTCACGAAATTCACTACATATATTGCAATGTTAATCGTACCAATAATTTAGTCAACGAAAGCTAAAAGTAGACAAAGATAACACAGTCGTACCTATAAAACGGTTGAACTTCAGGACAGTTAACTAGTTTGTAGGTGTGTGCGATGCGATATAGATCTCCAGTAATGTATCGCTTGCCTACTTTTCCATAGCCACAACCAGATAGTTAAATATCGAAAATGATTCTGAACCATCTCCAACATCGTCATTTCTAGCCAGTCTTTTACGACGTGAAATGACATTTGGCTCAAAGTAATATGATGCGAATGTTGCAATCTCTTCAATAATGTACGCCTGACAAATAGACGCCTCCACATGTGCTTTGTTTGTGACCTTTTTCTTCAATTGTCCTAATTTCCTGTGTTGGTATAACAATTATTATGCCAGTTTTTAGATACAGTTATAATAAAAAAAGGATATATACGACAGAAAATACTAACCTCTCAAAAGAGTACATCCATCTATAAAAAACAGGGCTAGCAACTTTAGCTTCATATGGAAGATGAATAAGAAGATGTTCCTCCGTTCTCAAAAACACTTCCTCTTTCATTTTTTTCACTTCCAACAAAACACTTCCCTTTTCTATTTAAAAACCAGTTTTACGCTTACTTTTTCATACCCTACCTATCACATCATCCTTTTTCTCTAATAATAAATCTATTACATCTTACTTTTACCCATCACATCAGGGACAAAATTGGAAGTCAACTATAAATTTACACTTCCTTATTTTGCCTTATAGTCAAAGTGGGAAAGATTTTTCCAAACTGAGGGAGTAATACATACTTGGTCATCTTAGAAAACGGCTTCGTGGCCATAGATTGTATTTTGTGCATTCAATCTTGTCTTAAGATCATAATGATGCAAAAGCCTTAGCTTTACGGCATCCCGATGCTTGGTAGTATGGAGCTTGTTGATGAGAGGGATCCAATTTAGAGCCATTTCTCGTAAGAGAGTGAAAATTCAATTGGTATTCATCTAATAGACATAGAACACATCTATTTACATATACTCCCTTCGTCCAACAATAAACTTCTCATTTTGAATTACGTGCAAAATCTCATTTTTAAAAAAAATTACTTTATCTATAAATTGGTATATCATAAAAAAGTATAAATTACATTGTTCAAAACTACATCAAAATTTTTATAAAACAAGAGGTGACAAGATTATTTTAGCTTATCAAATGATTGATGAAAATATGCAAAAAAACATAAGTTATTGAGAGACCGTAATAGTAACTTGAAAGTTTATTGTTGGACGGAGGGATTATTAGATTTGGAGGTTTGTTTGCATATTCAAGGGCTTGGATTTGTGTTTTTTTTCAAATTGAAATTGGGTCATTGATCAAAATATGTGGTGTGGACTTATCCAAGCATTCTAAACTAAAATTGAGACATTTATTAATCAATTGGACGGGAAAATGGATTGTAATTTTGAGTGTATTTTTATATGTATAGTCCTTTATCCTTTATCCTTTATATATATAAATGAGACTCGGAGTTCTAAGAACATGACATTTGGCATATTCAAAGCTTGACATGTGGCATATTAGGTGGCAATTTAATCAAATTTACTCTCTTTCATTATTTCACATTTTTTACTCCTTTTTCAAAAATGATATGGAGTAATTACTTATTTTGAACCCATGAATTCAAATTTAGAATCAAAATCATTTTCCGTGTAAATTATACTCCCTCCATCCCCAATTTGATTACAAATTGCGGGTTACGAAATAAAATTTCCTACTTTTTGGAATCATTTTATTTACAAATTGGTATATCAATAAGATATAAAAATTGCATATTAAAAAACTACGTCAAAATTTCTACAAAACAAGAGGTGACAAGAATATTTTATTTTATCAAATACTTAATAAAATCGCGTAAACAAACAAAAGTTATCGAGAGGAGAGAAAAAAAATTGTAATCAATTTAGGGACGGAGGGAGTAACTTTTAATAAAATATCATTATATATATAGACACACTCACACACACAATATTTATTTTTTATTTTTGTACATGTAAAAATTAAATCGTTAATATGTGGAGTATAAAATTTCATTTTCATATAATTCATAAGAAATTATTAATATATAACTTTTTAATAATTTTTACTTTTGATTTTCTCATATCTTTTTTTTTGAAATTTTAAATTTTAAACTTTTTTTTAAAATTTTTGAATTTTTTTCAATTTTTATTTTCTATTTTTTTACATATATTATAAAATATCTTTCAAGAAAAATGATTAAAAAAATAATTTTTCTAAAAGCCAAG